CAGTCAGATGGCCCCTTGTAACCACTCATCTCTCACAACAGCTGCTACAGATGATACATAAACAAATGAACATCCTCACGTTCCAACACAATGTTACAGTCAAGCACCACTTAACATTCACGATACAGTCTGTGAAAGAGGATGTTATGTGATTTGGACATTGTGTGAACACCATATTATACATAGTCTCAGATGATGAATGAGTCATTCTTAGGTTTGCCCTTAAGCAAAACCTGTATATAAATCGGAATAGTTAAGTACAATTTTCATATTGTTGTAGGAGGAAAAACAGTAATCACAGAAGTTACAAAAGAGCTGAGAAACTGAGTTTATCTGCATGCCAGATAAAAGGAGAAAAGACAGACAGGTAAAGAAAAGGCAGCCAAGGGGCTGTGTGGTTCCTCCCTACACTAAAATCATTTCTCTACTTAGGAATTATGCAAGTTTAGACAAGGATCCGCCTTTCATCAGCTCACTAAAGAACAGAGGTGACTACACATCCCCCAGGCTTTCCTTGATTATAACTGACCTTTCATGTAGGTACCAGTCACTCTTAACCAGACTCAGATCTTTGCAGCCATAGACTAGAGGCAAAACAAGGATAATCTGAGGTGCCATCTAGTTGACGAGTGGACCTAGGAACAAGAGATCCGAAGCCCATCCTAACTTTCACCATCCTCACCGTCTCTGATATGCTCAAGCCCATTGTTATACTTACTGTGTCAGTTCTTGTCATTGAGGGTCTTCTGGTCTTTCGCTGGGCCTCCAGTTTCCCCAGCATTATACCTTTCCCCCTCAAGAATCGGTTTCTCCTTCTGACAACATGCCCAAAGTATATGAAATGAAATTCCACTCTCCTTGCTTCTAAGAAGCACACTGGTTGCACTTTCTTCAAAACAGATTTGTTTGTTCTTTTTTGCAGTTCATGGGTGATTCAATACTCTTCTCTGTATGGTTGTTAATGTGCCGTCAAGTTGCCTGTGACTCATAGCGATTGTATGTACAACAGCCCTAACCCCTGCTCTATCCTGTGCCAATCTTATTGTCTCTGATACACCTATCCCCATTACCCCAGTCACTGAATCAATTCATCTCATTGAGGGTCTTCCTCTCCTGCGCTCCCTCCACCCTCCCAAGCATGACGTCCCTCTCCAAGGACAAATCCTGCCTTGCAACATGTCCACAGTATGTCAGACGAAGCCTCAGAATCCGTGCCTCCAAGAAGCAGCTGTTTTAAACCTCTCTAGGACGAACTTCTTTGTTCTTTTAGCAGTCCATGATATACTCAATACTCTTCTCCAGTATCACAGCCCAAAGGCATCAATTCTCATTCTATGTCTATATGGTAGCTTGTGAAAATGTTCCCAAATGGCCACATCTTAAAGATGCTGTGGGCAGAGTATTGAATGATCTTGGAACCATCAAAAGAACATGGAAGGAAAACAACAAAAAAAAGAAAGAAAAAAGAATGAAACAGAACAAATTCATGAAGTAGGATATGATCAAGAACAAATGGTAATAAAGGAGAAAGTTCGAACTTCTCTGAAGGAACTGGCAAAATGTAAGGTGTCCGGAATTAACGTACTACCAATTGGCATATTTCAACAAACAGATGCAGCCTTGGATGTGCTCACCAGGTTGTGCCAAGCAATCTGGAGGACAGCTACCTAGCCACCTGCCTGGAAGAGAGCCATATTTATTCCCATTCCCATAAAAGGTGATCCGATAGAGTGTCGAAATTACCAAATGTTATCACATGCAAGCAAAGTCTTGTGGAAGATTATCGAAAAGTGGCTGGAGATTGTCTCCCATTAACAGAGAACTGTCAGAAATACAAGTTGGGGTTAGAAGAGGCCATGACACTAGGGATATCCTTCCCAACGTCAAGTGCATCTTGACTGAAAGCAGAGAGTACCAGATAGATATCTATTTGTGTTGTATTGACTATGAAAAGGCATTTAACTGCTTCAATTGCCCCAAAGGATTTGGTAGCCCTATACTCTTTAGAGAGTTCTGGGGACTTAGCGGTAAGGAGCTGTGCTGTTAAACTAAGACACATGGTTCGAATCCACCAGCAGCTCCACAGGATGGACAGTCACCTCCTGTGTGATTTATTTACTGCTTCTGAAAACCTGCTGGAGGGTCAGCTATGGATTGGTGCTGACTCCACAGAACAACATCAGCAGCAGAGTCTTTGTGGCATCACCAAATCACCATGGCTTACCTCCAGATGATCCTCTGGGTGGGTTCCAACTTCTGACCTTCTGGTTAGCAGCCGAACCACCTGTGTCATCAGGATGCTTTGCTTTTTGGTAGCAAGAAGGGATGGAATGTTTCTGAAGGCCACAAAGATGTTAGCGTTTCTATTCCCTTGAGGCTGGAAAGAGGGAGGAGGTGGGAGGCTGTTGTCTGCGGCTCAGTGTCACTTTGTTAAGAGCATCTAGATGGTCCCATTCCTCCTCACTCGCTCGTCTTGGACCATCTGTGCTTTGTTTTTCACAGATCCTGGCTGGTTTGTCACTTGAGGCATTTCACAATTGTCAAGCAGGTCAAACTGAGTCTCCTTATTAGTCACTAAAGCAACAAAGTAAAATATTGCCGAGGCTCCAGACATGTCCCTTGGGAGCCTACCTCCTGGGTCACCAACACAACACGTCCTTCCTTCCTGTGTGTGAAGCCCCACCTCACCTCTGTCAGAACTCCCACGCCTCCAGCTGATGAGAAGACTCGGGCATTCTGTTACAACCCCAACAGCCTGCCTGGCCCTTCCAGCTGATCTCGGGCAGGCCTGCTGTCCGGCAAGCGTGCTGATGGCCAACCCTCTCCTACCCTACCGGGTGCACTTTCCTTTCTGTCCCCTCCAGGACTCTTCCTATGTCATTTTCTATCACCTGCAGTGGGAATTACCTACAGCTGCTGAAGGAAAATGTAAGCTCCATCCCAGAGCTATTGATTCAGCATCTCTTGCCAACATGTTAGTTTAAAGACGAACGTGCACCGAGTTCAGGCCGTGATCTTTTCAATCAATTGCCATGCTGCGAGCTGGACAATGAATAAGAATGACAGAAGAATCGATGACTTAAAATTCCTAAAAGAGGTTCTCACACGTCATTTATTACCTGCGTCCCCAACATTCATTTGCACTCTCATTAGCTTTGGTCTTGTTTCAGCAATTTCGACCACATTGTAATTATAATAAGTTATTAATTCCATTTCCTTTAAGACTCTTCTTCTGCTTAGTCCCCTGTGTTGGCTGCGAAAGACCTGGGAATTTCTCTCTTTTGAGGCATTTGGGGTAGGGTGGGGACTAAAATCAGAATCAAATGGACAAGGAAGGAATGAATTATCAAATATGCAGGGGGAGATACATTTTTCAAACATGACTATAATGGGTGTGTCAGAGGCAGTGTGATTGGCACAGAATAGAGCAGGGTTTAGGTCTGTTGTACATAGGGTCACTATGAGTCATAAGCAACTAGACAGCAAGTAACAACAACAACATAAAAATAATTTTAAAAATTTTAAAAAACCCCACATGACTATGAATACACACGAGAGAAGGAAGTGGTTCAAGCTGAAATGATATGAAAAACACTACAGGAAGTCCAGGAAAAGTACCAACGCATCTCCTGAGGCCATTAGCAGCAAAAAATGTTTTAGATCCTTAACTCACTAATTAGGGAGCCCTGGTGGCCCCTTGGACAAATACAGGAGCTGTCAACCTAAAGGCAGGTGATTTGAGTCTGCCAGTCTCCTCAGGAGAAAGAAAGATGGACAATCTCCTGCTGTGAGATTTCCAGGTGCTGAATGCCTGCTGGAGGGCCAGCTAGGAGTCGGTTCCAATTTGACGGCAATGACTAAGTGTGATTGTTGTCCACTGATTATTAGCTGAATTCACGTCATCTCTTTGCCACTGTCTGCTTCTCATATTTTGAGAGAAATAAATGCTAACTAGCAGCTTCTTTCAAGATCCCACTAACACATCTGCAAACAGGATTTTCAACTTGGCAAGCTTGCACTGTTATTCCAACTTTACTTCCTTGTCTATTGGCCTTAAGGTCAGTGGTGGTAAGACCCAAGTCCTTTTATTGTTACATCTCTGAACCCTCACACAGTTCCTGGTACCAGCAGATGCTCTCTTTAGACCAGTTTCATGAATGAGAGTGTAAATACACAAAAGCTGACTTGCCTCAGACTTAATCAGACCTAACACTGGACCCAGATCATAGCACCCACAGAAAGTACCAGAAAACTCTCCCAACATATCAAGGAGATAAAGAACAACATTGAACCAGAATAAAACATCTACATGGATGAAGAATGGTCTTTTATTTTAAAATATTTTATGGAAGTATTCCAAACAAAATAAAGACTTAAAAAAACATGTAAGAGAAACTGTAACCCTATAAATAATAATAACAAGAGCTTTTGAAAAGTTCTTATGGAACATAACATATTTTAGGGAGGAGTGGATCAAAACATTGGTTTCATTAATTGGTAACATAATAAAATATGATTTCCAGCGGTTAACCAGAATCACAGTATTGATAACTGAGGAATACGGAATAAACAAGTAACAAACAATGAAGAGCCATTTTATTGTCAATTCTGACTGTCATACAAGGGAAACACTCAGAAGGAAAAACACAACTCACAAAAGGACAGATTTCAGAAAAGTGCAAGGGCTATGGTATCTACAATAGAAAATCATTTTGTGACATTGACCTCTTTCTGCCCAGCTGTAAAAGAGGGAACAAAAATAAATCAATATCTACAGAGCATGTTTCAATTACACTAAGGTGTTAAAATGAAAAGAAGTAAAAGAAAAACCAGAAACAAAGCCACAAACGTTGTATTGCAGAGTGTCCCAACAACCACACAATTACTGAGGACGTCCTGCTTCTTTTCTCCAGCACTGCCCTGGTCGCGGCTCTCGTGACTTCCAGGGGCTGTGGGTGGCTGACGCGTCCCAAGAGTGGGCAGGGCTCTGATAATTACTGTCAGTGCTCAGATCGGTAGGCAGGAAAAGTCTCTGTCCGGTGAAGCTTCAGAGGGCTGGAGACATCTTTGCCAAAAAGAATTTAAAAACTGCAGTTAATTTTTTAAGAAAGCCCATCATCAAATTGGCTGATAGCATACTTCCAGATAACAGTAACATACTCATCATGACATAAGATTTCATTTTTTTTTTTTTTGCCTCAACAGCCACTCATAGATGGACATACGCAAATCAGGGTCATGAGAGTGACTGTGTAACTGAAACATCATTTGCATGGGGACTTGGCTTTGAACAGCAGTCATCCTCTTAGCAATCATTTTCCTTCTTAATTTTTTGTATCTTCAGCTGTCATGATACCCAGGGTAGCCAGGGCAGACCAAAGCAAAACACAAAGTATGGACAACTTTTGGCTAGGGCTCCTTTTAGTGACCTGAACAGAAAGAAGCTAGTTTTTGGTTTTGTTTTGTTTGGTACATAGATGATCTTGCCTTAAACAAACTCTTACAAAGCATTTGATGTCATTGGGTGCCATGAAGTCCGCTCCACCTCACAGCAATCTCATTTGCTGGAGAGAACTGTCCTCTAAGCCTTGCTTGCTGCCAGTGTTATAGAAGCTGACTGTGGAGCTGTTGGTTGGGTTGGAACTGCCAACATTGCAGTCATCAGCTGAGGACTGTTGTTGCTGAACGCTGTCAAGTCAGAGCCAACCCAGCAAGCGTCTGGGACTCCACAGGGCTTCCAAGGCCGTGGTCCTTTTGGAAGCACATTGCCGCATCTCAACCCTGTGGGGACTAGTGGATTTGAACTGCCAATGTTAAGGTCAGTAGCTGAGGATTTATCATCTACGCCACCATTCTCCTGAGCCAAGGTCTAGTCTTTATTTTTAAGATTTAGGCTCAGAACCAAGCAAAGCCAAAGGGAACTTCAGGCCACTGTGTGTTAGTTCCTCTATGCAAACGAGAAAAGATTGTCCTTATAGACACTGTATGTCTAGAAGTGAGGCTGTCACCACACTTGATAATTATCATTTCTGTTGCCAATATTTAATTCTGCTGATGTTGTCATACCAAAAAAAAAAAAAGCAAACAACAACAACAAAAAAAAAACCCAAACATTCACTGCCATTGAGTTGGTTCTGATGGACAGCCACGCTTCACCGGTTTCCGAGGTTGTAAATCATGACTGGGAGAGATTGGGCATCTTTCTCCTGTGGGAACGCTGATGGATTGAAAATGCAATAGTCTCCAGGCCTTTGGACTGGTTAGCAGGGCAACACGCTAACCAGGGAGCTCTGGTGGCCTCATGGTAAAGGCACTGTATTGCCAACCCCAAAGCACATGGTTCTATCTAGTCCACAAGACGGGCAGTCTCTTCCCAGATGACTATGCCCAGGTTTATTGAGAGCTGTACTCAGCTCTGAGTCAGATCCGGCTGAACAACAATGAGTGGGTGAGTGAATGAGTGCATGACAAAATCCAAAGTCTCTGTAAACTTTTATTAAAATAATTTTTTTAAAAAAAGCTAAAAACCTCAAACAAAAAACCAAACAAACAAACAAGTAGCCATCAGCGGGGCTTAAATGAATGGATGTAACTGTTCCGATAAAACTTTATTTACAAAATAGACAAGGGCTGGATGCGGCCTGCAGGGTGAGTTTGCCAATCATGGTGGATGTGAAAACTGGATTTTATCAAAATAAGGAGCTTTACTGCCATCTGCTGGATTAGGCCATCAGTGTATGTGTGCTGTGGCCTGGGCCCCACGCTGGGGAACCCACCCATGTGAGTCAACAGGCTTAAAACACAGCCAGGCAGGGCTGCCGCTCTGACACAGGTGAGCCTACATGTGGCTGGAAGGCTGGAAGTATCATCAGAGCTTCAAATACCAGACTGTCCCCCATGGTGGACACATTTCAGCGAGGCCCTAGCCTCCACTGAAGGCTGACGAGAACAAAGGCTGTGCCTCTAATTCCAAAATCAGCCAGTGTAGACCCTCGGACAACAGCAGAGCACTATCTGATCTGGTGCTGGGAGATGAGACCGGGAGGGTGGAAGGTGCTTAGGAGACACAGTGGCCACAAGAGCAGAATGAAGCAACGCGGCGTTTGTGAAGATGACACAGGAATGAACGACATTTGTGAAGGGTGACATTCGGGGAAATGACACAGGAATGGACGCTTGTGAACATGACACAGGAATGAAGATTTGTGAAGATGACACAGGAATGGGTGACGTTTTGTTCTACTGTACGTCTGGGCTTCCTGTGTGAGGCTGGCTAAATGGCAGCTAACAACAAGGTTGTATCTGAGTGGAGATAAAGTTTTTTCTTAAAACATTTTTGTTGTTGTTTAAGAAAATGTTGTTGTTGTTGTTGTTGTTATGTGCTGTCGAGTTGCCTGTGATTCATAGTGACCCTATGTACAACAGTCCTAAACCCTGCTCGCTCCTGTGCCAATTTTACTCTCTCTGATGCTCCTACCCCCATTGCCCCAGTCACTGAATCAATCCATCTCATAGAAGGTCTTCCTCTCTTTCTCCGTCCCTCCATCCTCTCAAGCATGACGTCCCTCTCCAAGGACCTGTCCCTCCTCGCAACATGTCCAAAGAAAACATTGAACCAAAAAAAAAGGATTTTGGTCATGTAGGGCTTAAAGCCTTAAACTGATGCTCAGTTCATGTTCTCACAGCCAGCTGTGACCACGCCAAATCTCAGTCTCTGTCTCAACTGAGTCCCCCACTGCAAGTAAGAACTCAGGTCAGAAAGTCCTTAACATTGGACTCACTTTTCCACTTCTGGCAAATGGGAAGAAGCCCCCCTCACAGTGCTGTCGAGGGTGAGGAAACAAAGGGCTTTGTGAGTGGGAAACTCCCGCCTGAGTGACTGGTCACACCACCAAGGGAAAGCCCCCAACACAACAGCATAGGAAGCCATGGATTCAGACATAGATATGCCTAAAATCTAAATCACAAGAACATTACATGTTCAGCCACGCAGACGCCGGGAGCCCTCATGGCCCAGTGGATGAGAAATTGCACTGTCAACCCAACGGCAAGCAGTTTGAATTCACCTGCTGCTCATTGGGAGGAAGTTAGGCAATCTCCTTCCATGTGATTGATGGTCTCTGTAAACCCCTGGAGAGCCAGCTAGGAGTTGGTGCCCACTCAAAGGCAAGAGAAAGTAGAGTGTATGTGTGTGTGTGTATATATATATATATGATATTAAAAATTTCCAAATTACTGGAAATCGTTTGCCTGGCTTCCTGAAGATGTATCCTTTCCCCAGCACACACCCTCTTCAGCATATACAGACACAAACAGCCATGCACCCACAATAGGAAGGAAAGAGACTGCAAAAACCTTAAGAGGAAAATCCAGGTTCCTCTTTACTGCCTTCGATGGAATTTCCCTTAGGGAGCGGACAGTGCACCGGCAGCATTTATACATAAGCGAAATCTTTGGTCAAATCCAAAGCTCTTTTCTACACTGTCCACTGTAGCTCCTTACACTCCATGTGTTTGCAAGAGAAAGAACTGGTGGCATTTACTTAGGGTCAAGTTCAAATGGAAACACTTGCTGTTCCCACAACACTGGCTAGAAGAATCTTTGCAGTTTGTCCCAAAGGCTGCTTTTGGTTTCAAATCATGGAATGGATTCTAAGGCGTCCCTATCTCTTCCATGTTTGGCAATTCATACCTACTTCCTGGCCTGCAGGCTCATCAAAAAAAGTCTAACTGCTTCTCAGTGTTCACAGTCGACTTCCCATGAAAGTGAAGTTTCTGTTTTCTTGGAAAAGAGAAGAAGGCCGACGGTGGTTCTTACCAGGCATGCCTCACCTTCTTTGACTTCTCTCTGTTGTGCTTCACAAGTTTGTCTGAATCTTGAAGGTGTGTGGTGATCCTGCGGCAAGAGAGTCTATCACCACCATTTTTTCCAACAGTACGTGCTCGCTCCTTGTCTCTGCATCATATTTCAAAAATTTTCACATTGTGCTATTGTGCACTTCCCTAGAGGTGGTCTACTGATAACCCAATTACAAAATGGGCAAAAGACATGGAAAGATTTTCACAGAGGAAGATATTCGAATGGTAAACAGACACATGAAGAAATGCTCCAAATCACTGGCAATAAGACAGATGCAAATCAAAACCACAATGAGGTACCATCTTCCTCAAGTAAGAGTGGCAAAGTTTAACAGCAAGTAATAAATGCTGGAGAGGATGTGGCAAGAAAGGAACTGTTATACCTTGTTGGTGGGATTGTAAAATGGTGCAACCATTCTGGAAGGCAGTTTGTTGCTTCCTCAAAATGCTGAACATAAAAATTCCATATGACCAACTATTCCACTACTTGGAATATACCCTGAGAATATGAGAACTGAGGCACAAACTGAGATTTATACACCAGTGTTCATAGCTGCATTATTCAACATCGCAAGAAGATGGAAACAGCCCAAATGTCCAACCACAAACGAATGGACTGAGACATTACAGTACATTCACACAGTGGAATACTATGCAGCACGCAGGAGCAATAACTTAGTAAATTATTACCTAACTTGGGAGGGACTGGAGAGCATTATGCTGAGTGAATTGACTCAGTCCCAGAAGAATAAACACTGTATAAAACCGTTATTGTAGAATGAGTGTAAGGATTCAGAGGGGGTAGGAGAGGCTGGAAGCAGAGGGATGTGGATGTGCAGGGGAAGAGGGGATTAATCATTGGGTTGTACAATTTGATTGGGCGGGGGGGAATTTAAAGAATTTGTTCAAATTTGCATTTGAATTTTGTAAATAAACTAGTAGAAAAATTAAAAAAGAAAAAGAAAAAAGAAATCATAGAATTGCAAAAAAAAATAATGTTCATGAAAATAAAAATCGTTTTGGTGGTTAAAGTTCTTTAACCTAGTGGTTAAGGGGATAGGATCCCAAGGGAAAAGTTGGTTGTTTGAACCCACCAGTGGCTATACAGGTGAAAGATTTGGCTTTTCTGCTCCTGTAAAAAGCACACCCTTGTGCACAGGAAACCTTGAGGAGCGATTCTGCTCTGTCTCACAGGCTGGTGGGAGCTGTGGGATTCTCTTCCGCAGCAGTGGGTTTGGCTTGTTCATTTAGCATATATGGCACATCCAGCCCTTTCTCCCTTTCTCTTCAAGAATTATACTCAATTGCTGTCCAGTTCCAAATTCTAGGATTTCTTGACTGATATTTTGAGGCTTCAAATAATTATGAGAAGAGATTGTCCATCTTTCCCCCTTGGAGCAGGTGATGGAACCTAACTGCAGACTTTCCGATTATCAGGTCAATACCTTGAAGCACTAAGCCATTATTAGTGCACCTTCTCAGAGAGTAATGATAAGAGGATGATTCCAAAATGCACCAGCAGGTGGCTCTCTAGGACTAAGTTTGGGGAGGGACATGGCCCTATCTCAAATCTATAATAAACTCCCTACAGAGAACAAAACAAACAAAACCAAATCAAATTCAGGTCAACACATGTAAATTGTGCAGAGCAATTGCAAGACACACAAATAAATCTATACACACACACAGAAACAAGAACAGATTCGGTGCCTGGCAACCTCATCACTTGCTGGGCACTGGGCCATGACTAAGTTTTATTGCTTTCTCCTTTAAGGGTCAGGGGAGGGGAGAAGAGAAGAGGCTAAGAGTAGAAAAACCAGATACTATGTTTTTCCACTTATTTTGGGGTGGTCTATGGACATTTTCTAAACCTTCAGTATTTCTTTTAAATCTTGTTGTGTTGTGTACATATAACCTGTGGATGTCACAGTACCCCCTAAACCCATTCTTATACCTTCAGAAACTGAACGGACAGTCACCATAAGTCAGCATGGCAGTGACCATGAGTCAACACTAATTCAACAGCAGTGAGTATTCGTGAGTTATCACATAGCCACTCCAGATATTTATCTAACTTTTTTTTAGCATCTATTGAGTATCAAGCTCCCACAACTGAACAGAGGGTAGGTATAGATACAGAATGGTAAGTATCTTCCTTGCCCTTTTTCCATGGTTCATTCTTCCAACAAATATTTATGGTGTGGCTACTCCATGCAAGGCACTGCAGAGAAAAGATAGAGCACAGAGACAAGACACATAGCCTTTCTGGGAATTCCTGCTTGGAGGAGGAACTGGCCAGGGGCAAATGAACACATGAGTAAATATGAAACGAAAGCTGTGATAAGACTTGGAGCAAAGGGTCATCGTCGTCGTCAACTTCATAAGGACACATTAGCAAAACCCTCAAGCTAGGTTGACGTACAGGCTCAGTCGTTAGCAGGTGAAAATTATTCCACTGTTAGCTGCAAGCATGGCGGTTAAAATCCAGAGGCTTCTTGACAATTAGCTTAGTAATCAGTCTTGAAATCCTATGGAATGTTTGTGCTCTACACACGTGGAATCTCGATGGCAAACCAACAATAACCTAAATCTGAGTGAGAAACCGCGTGGGAGACCAGAAGGTGAGAAAGAGGTCTTTAGGGGGTAGAATCCTCATTGCAAGTTAAAGAAAAAGTACATGAGGAACTCTGTAGAAGCTTCTAGATTAAGATAGGCAAGGAAGAAAAGCTGGAAAATCTACTTCTGAAAATTAGCCAGTGGAAACCGGTGGATTACAACAAAATATTGCCCCGCGATAGGACTGAAAGATGAACCTTCTAGTAAACTTTCATTAAAATTAATAATAATAATAATAATAATAATAATAATAATAATAATAATGAAATGTAAAAAAAAGGATGAGAGTTCTGGTAAACTTTCATTAAAATTAATAATAATAAAGAAATGTAAAAAAAATGAGCCTTCCAGGATGGCCGGCGCTCCCCAGACCACACTGATAAATTCAAACACAGTGGACAACTGTGAGAGAGGCTCAGGACCCGTCAACGTCTCAGTCTATTAAACAGAGTCAGCAGGAGCTGGAGAAGAGGTGACCGCACACAGCGTATCTGCTGGACTAGGAGCTCGGGCGTGGAACCCATGTGTCCCCAGTCACGGGAAATCAGGCACAGATTCTAGAGCCAGGCCCTGAGGTGCGCAGCCTGGGTAAGGGGCGTCGAGGGGGTCCGACCCTCCAGGCTCACCTTGCAGGCGGTACAGCTGGCCGGTGCTATGCTGCCGGGTAATGTGCTGCCAATACGCGCTGCGGGGCAGGGGTACCATGGTGCTAAGGGAGGCGGCCCGCTCACTCATCTTCATCTGCAGCTGCGGGGAGAGAAGACAGAAGAGGTCAGCAATCCTGTGCCGAGAGAGACAAACGAGACAGGAGTTCCTAGAACCAGGGGCCAGCCAATCGGCAACTCAAAGAGCATTGTTGCCAGCAATCTTGCTACTGTCCTCCAGGTGACCTGGCCTGGTAGGACCCCTAAAGGACAGAGGAGAAGTGCCCTACGGGGTTCCCAAGGCTGCAGCCTTTACAGAAGCCAACTGCCACATCCGTCTCCCCTGGGGCAGTCAGTCGGCTGGAACCACCAATCTTTAGGTTAACACTTTAATGACTGTATCATTCAGGGTGAATTGAGGTGGTGATGGAGATGGAGAGCCAGTGTGTCTGCCTGGTGGGCAGTACCCATTCTTCAACTTTTAGCAGAGTTCGTGAGATTCCATCGAGAAATTTCTTCTCAATCACACTTAATACTGCAGCTCGGGTTGAACTCACCCCAATAATATCTTGTGAGTGGGCAGGCGACCCTACATGGCATTTTCCTTAAAGAAAGTTTGGATCTGGGCAAGTGATTGCAGCCCAATCAGACACAATCTAGGAGCATCCATGAGACCCGAGGAAGAACATCAACAGAGGCAGGTGAAGATGCTGTCTGCTTGCCCACTGATCTGCTATCCCCGGGGCGCAGCAGTATGTCTCGGCACACAGACACACAACAAAAAGGAGATCTGGGTGACAGAACTTTCTAGCGGGGCGGTTGAGAAGATAGGAGGTAGACTGGGGTCGATCTTGCAAGCGCAAAGAGTGAATTCCCAGACAGGCTGCAGAGGGAAGCAGCTGAGTGAACAATAGTGAGAGCTTGATAAACTCTTCTGAGCCCTGAGATCCAGCCACAATCCACAGGGGAGCCCAGAGCTTCTAATGCTACGGAGAAGTTACGTGTCTTCTGCAGAAGATGGTTTGAGCTTGGGCTTTCTGTCACTAGCATGAAAAATAAAAGAAAGTAAACCAACAAACTCTACTCAGGCAAAGGTCTTCTGGAGGGCGAGCTTTATTCCAGAAACTGGGGAAAGAGAAAGATGGGGCTTTTCCTAAAGGCAGCCAGCACTCTGCCTTGGGGAGACCACTGAAGTCCCTTGATGCCTGGGTCAAATCGAAAGTCTAGCAAACCCCAAGGAAGAACTGACTTTGCAAGTGACTTTCTCTCAGGGTGGGCAGGATAAAAGGAGAGTAGGCAGGCAGGAATGGCAGAATGGCCAGCTGAGGGATCCCCTCGGCCCTCTCACCCAAGTGCCTATCTTAGTCGCCATCATTATGGCATCTCCATAACACAAGAAGTGATTCTCCGCATTGTCTGAGTGCCTGCAGTTGCCTGAATATCAATAACCCACCAAGGTATTCTAAAAAAAAATGTGCTCACAGGTACATGAAGTTCTGTGCAAGATGTTGACCGGGGTATCATTTGCAGTCCTGAAAAAGCTAGAGGCAGCCTCAGATCACCCCCTTCCCTCCCCATTACCCCCAGGACCTGGTTCTGTGTGCACAGGGACACAAGGGATCATCCATCAGCGTTGATGGGCCAGAGTCACACCGGCTGCGAAGTGCACATCGTATACAGTCTCGTGAAGGGAAACGGCCAGTTTTGCAGCCCCTTCCTGTGATGGAATGTCATTTTAATTTCTCATATGAAAAGGGAGATGTTCGATAGCTGCTCATTTGGGCTGTGGAAAGTTCCGTGAACTGACAGCTACAACCCATTTAGTCCTTGCTTACCACAAAATTAACACACAAAACACATTGTCACAGAGTTTATCGTGATTTTTAGTGACCATAAGACAGAGTGGAGCTGCCCAGAGTGTTTCCAAAGCTGTAAAGCTTTACAGACGCAGAGTGCTTCACCTTTCGCCCTCGGAGTGGCTGGAGGACTGTAATCAGTGACTTTCCAGTTACCTTGGTGTGTGTCATCAAGAAAAAACAAACAAACAAACAAAAAAACAAAACCACACACACAAACAAAACCCAACAAGGGCTTTAGAGTAAATGACAGCCACATTGCAGGATTTTTGAGGCTACACGAAATGACAGTGGCTGTGAGCCTTCTGAAATTCAGACACGGCCCTCTGTCAGATCAGAGCAGGCGCTCCTCCAAACAGCACAGGGGCCTCACTCACGTAGTATAGTTCACTTACAGACCCCATACTGCAACGCTCATATTTGTATCAATAACTCTACTAATGCTGCCTCCCCCTGGGAAAGGAAATCTGGTGGCGTAATGTGTGATGGGTGGCACTGCTAACTGAAAGGCCTGTGGTTCGAATTCAACAGCTGGTCCAGGAGAGAAAGATGGACAATCTCCCTTAGAGATTGATGGCCCAGGAATCCTATGGGGGCTGCCGTGAATCATAATCAACTCAACGACAGTGATTTGGTGTTGGATTATTAGTGCTTAGACAGAAGGAAGTCTAGGATACCCTGGGAAGACAGAAAAGACAAAGAGAGGGAGGACAGATGGAGGGAAGAGGGGACTACAGTAATCGGGGAGGGCTCCTTGGAAGAGCTGGCACCTACACAAGTCGGCTGTCAACATTCTGCCCTTCTATCCCCTAGATTTTGGTATTTCTGTGTTCCTGGCACATACCTCAAATGAGCCACCATCTCTGCAAGCCCACAGGAGGGAGCTCTGCAGAATGCTGGAGTTTGACCACGTTCTTTGTAAGTTCTGGACTCTTTAGATGGCTGTATGCTTGCTTCACTGATGACTGTGGCACCTATGAGATGTCCTTGGGCCATGCCCACACCCACCAGAGGGGGCTTCATGGAGGAAGTGAAGGCTCTATGTATTATGTCATTACAAACGTTACAGTTCTAAAGCCGGCTTTGTTGTTGTTGTTGCTGGGGGCCATCACATCGATGCCAGTGCGTGATAACCCTGGACACAGTGTACAAGTGCCCCACAGGATCTCCCAGGCTATGTTGTTGTTATGTGCCATCGAGTTGCCTGTGTCTCATAGCGACCCTATGTACAACAGCCCTAAACTCTGCTCTGTCCTGTGCCAATCTCATCATCTCCGACACACCCATCCCTATTACCCCAGTCACCAAATCATTCCATCTCCTAGAGGGCCTTCCTCTCCTGCGCCTGCCCTCCTCCCTCCCAAGCATGATGTCTTTCTCCAAGGAACGGTCTCTCCTTACAAAATGACCAAAGTATGTCAGGCAAAGCCTCAGAATCCTTGCCTCCAAGGAGCAGCCCGGTTTAACCCTCTCCAGGATGAATCAGTTTGTTTTCTTCAGCTCTTTCTTGCCCAGAGCCAATAGGTGAGTTCCAACTGCCAAGCTTTCTGTTATCAGCCAAGCACTTAACCTAGAACTTGGAGAGAATTGCGTGGTTGCTTCACTGCTGTGTTCTCAGCTCTTAGAACAGCGCATGGTAAGAAGCTCTGTTGTGGCTGAGGCAGCACTGACTCCTAGCTGCGCCTTCAGCAGGTCTTCAAAAGCTGCAGATCACGTGGGAGGACACTGTTTACCCCTCTCCCTAGGAGCCACTGTTGTTAGAAAACAGATACTTTACAATTCTTTGTTGAAAGGAAGAATGAACCCACCCAACTATATGCTGGAGCAGGCACCTATCAGCCTACAAGAGCTGCTGGTTACACTGTCAGCAATTTAAGGAGACAGCTGGCGAAGTTGGCCATCATTAAAAATGAAATTAAGTCTCTTTATTAACGTTCACTTCCTTCTTCCTTTCATCCCTGTTAATAAGTAGATCCGTTGAGTAAAGGAAAAGTCAATATAGATGTTGGAAGAGTTCATTAGATGTCACGATTGATTAATTAATCACAGCAATGATGGCGGTGTTATTAAATTAAAAAACTTAAATTGTCAATTTAGAGCTAAGTATATTATACTAAAGATAAAGGTAATACATAATAAAAAAAAAATCACCATTCCTTAGTTATTGTAAGAGCACGTATGTTCCTGTGGTCATTCAGGTGCAGTCTGTCTGGTGCCCGAGTAAAAAGGGAGTTACAATGACACCCCAAAAACTAGGCGGTTCAAAGCTCCTGATGGAGAAAGAATGGACAATTTCCTCCTGTGCAATTTATAGCCTCTGAAAACCTGCTGGAGGGACATCTACGAGGTGGTTCCAAATCGAAGGAAATGAGTTTGAGTTTTGAATTTTCTGTTGGGTGGACACACTGTACAAGGCAGTACTTCTATTCATCCTTTTTTTTTTTTTTAATAGTTACCAAAGTGATGCATTTTATTTCGAACACTTTATATGTTTGAAAGTATCAGGACATCTTACATGATATTTTAAAACTCATTAATAATTACAATTGATAGATACACACTATTCAGTCACTAAAAATTATGATATAGAAGTAGTTCTAATTGGACGTTCACAACATATTGGTATATAAAACTAAAGCAGCTGTAGTACTAAAGATATATGATCCCGCTGCATAAATATTTACAGTGTCCATCTCTTTTTAACCTCAGATTCACTGAGTCAATGACAATGACCACGGTGAGACGGAGTAGTCACAGTAAAGGAATCATGAAGTGGCACAAATCTGGGATTGATTTACTCTCCCATGGATTGCTTTGACGTGAGAGGGTGATGGAGAAGCTATTAATAACAACACAGATAAATCCTGAAAGTGTGTCATTGCCAATAGAAATTATACAGCACAAGTATTTGGGGTAACATTTTTCAGATATTCAAAAACTGTTATCTAATTCAGCAGAGATGTCAGTAATGCCTTTACTAATAATGGCTTTTATGTAAAAGTAAGCCAAGTACTGACATATACACACATATATGTGTGTGTATGTGCATGTGTGTGTGTTTATAGATATATATGCCTATTACTCATCGGCACTCGTGAAAATATCAAACAACACACATCCCAGTAGTACTCATTCGCCCAACACAACGAGAGGTTGGATCTAGATAAAAGCATTTGGCAAAAATCAGCCAAAGACATAACTGGCATCATGAGGACTTGTAATAAAGACTCTTTCATCCTTCATACTA